AGACTTTTTATGTAAGAGAGAAATTATAAAGAAAACTACAGATTTTCCTACATCAACATTTAAAACTTCTCTGTATCAAGAACAAAATAAAACATAAAACATGACAAAAATTAAAACGTAAATGAACAGAAAATATTTATAAAATAAACGTCAATGGTTCAAGATCTTCAAATATAAAAAGCTTTTATAAATCAGATAACAAAATCAATATCCCAATAGAAAAGTGGACAAAGGACTGGAATAGGTAATTCACACACAAACACACTCCCTTCACACACACAAAAGTGTAGCCAATAAACATATGAAAAATACTTAATCTCATTAATCAAATAAATGGAAATAAAAACAAGATGGCATTTATGTACCTGATTGATAAACATTTATAAAAATGATAATACATAGAATATATATTGTTGATGACCATATAGATAAGTGAATATTCTCAGACATCACTGATATAAACTGGTGCAACCTCTTTGGAAGACAACTTAGCAATAAACTCTTATAATATGCACATATTTTCAACAAACCAATTCTACTTTCTGAAAAATTTCCTTAGGAAATTACCATGGATCTACACAAAGATTTAACTAAAAGAATATTCATCTCAATGTAATTTATAATAATGAAAAATTGGAACAACCTTATACGTTAGCTGGTTGAAATATTACGGTACCTTCAAATGATATAGTGTCATGCAATCATTAAAAATTATAGAGAACGTGGAAAGTAGCCATATTAATGATAGGAAAAAAATGTTCAATGACATGGAAAAATGTTCGGGATGGATAAGAGACTGGGTCTGGAGTTGGACACAGTGGGTTCAAATTCTAGATCAACCATTAATTAGCTGTGATAGTAGGTGAGTTATTAACCCTCTTTATCTCTCAGTTTCTTAATCTGTAAAAAATGTAACTCCTATAAAATAATGGATCTAGGTAACGATCATCAATAGTTACTTAAACCATTAAGAGAAAGGTTTCTTGGTAACTTTACAATGGATATGTAATGGATTGATAGGACACCACCTATCAAGCCTATGAAGTATTCTTACCTTTCCAAATTAGACCTGAATCTACCCTAGCATCTAGATCTCACCATCAGCTCACTGGAAATATGGGGATTTAATTCCATTAAAATGAGGTTCAAAGACAATCAAACAAGCTGGGGCAGGTATAGACTAAAAACCAAACCAAACCTGTTGCCATCAGTTGATTCTGACTCATAGCGACCCTACAGGACACAGTAGAACTGCCCCATAAGGTTTCAAAGGAGCGGCTGGTGGATTTGAACTGCCAACCTTTTAGTTAGCAGCCTGATCTCTTAACCACTGTGCCACCAGGGCCCCAGGTATAGACTAGGAAGGGGCAAATGGAAATTTTTATCTTAATTTAGGTGTTGGTAAACATATAAAGAATCATCAAGATATGCTCTTGAAATCAGTGTCCTACATACTTCGTTGTATGTATGTGATATCTTGATTTTTAAAAATGGACAGAAAAAGCTCCTGCTGATTTTTTACCATTGTCTAGTGGCAGGAAGAAACGTGGATGTGGTTAGGGAGCTAAGGGTGATGCCAAGAGAAAGAAGTAGTGTATGGCACCCGGCTGCTACCTGTAGGCCTTGTTCCCCAATGAACCCTCCCTGATGGGAGAGGTAGGGGTAGGGAGACTGCAGGGCCTGGGCTAAGGGAACTAGAGTACTCATTAGGAAAATCTCATGAAGTGGGGGTTCACAAGGATTTCTACACCACTAGTAAACTAAGACTATTGGCTATATCGTAAAAAATGGGCTTTAAGTTCACTTAAAGGATTTCAACAAGCCACCTTGTCCATGCACCTGGACAACTTGGTAATGTAAATTTAGAAACTAGCAGTTAAGCTAAGGCTATGTTTACAGCTGGATACTTGGAAAAGTAGGCTACATAAAGATTAGAACTTTGAGAATTGATGGAATTTGCTCTGAAATGCTAGAAGACTGTTTTGGGAATTGGGTTAATTATAGGAGACTGTTATAAGGTCTTTCTCCCACTCAACCCAACTCCTCATCCCCACCTCCACTCCCACCCTAGGAAATGATCTGGACTGGCCAGTAGAGACTGAGAAATAAGCATTTTCAGCGTCCATCTCCCCAACATTAGTGGTCTATCAGAGGATATCAAGGAAATAAGTGTTATTTTGATGTCTATGCATGGTATACATTCCTTCTGAGCTCTGATAATCCCAGTGACACAAATAGAAGTCAGAGGTTACAGTCAATCCTGTGATACTTTAAGTTTAACCTTCACATCTACTTTGAGAGAATAATTTCTTGTAATGCTATACTTGTCTAGTATATTTCAGACTCAAATTTAAGACTAAGGCAAATATAGAAAGTTTTTCTCCAAAGAGTAGAAAAGAAATTAAATTTCACTCTCATGAGTAGATTCAAGTGGTTGGAGATTTAGGTTCTATCTTCTTTAGATGGGAGGGTCACCCAGAAGTTAGGAAAATTAAGGGCTATCGATAAAAAAGATGGATGGCTATGTAGAACCTTATTAAATTCTTTGAAATGCTGGTAAAGGAAGAATTTAATATGCTCTCTTGATGCAAGTGGCAACAAGCTAGTTTGTTTTCCAAAATTTTTCCCTAGTGGGTAAAGAGCAAAATTCCCAAGTTTAACCATTGCACACAGACAAATCAGTCAAACTGAAGTTAAGATCATTTCTTCTCTTTCTGCCTTAGGTAACATGCTAGTGGATACATAAGGGAATTACTAAAAGGCCAAGGATAAATAAATCAGTGCCTGAGAAGTTGCTGATCTAGCTTAAAGAAGGAAAGAAGTCCAGCTCAGTGGGGCAATTTTTTTTAAAGCCAAAATACTAACCACTGATAGTTATACCTCATAACAATCTGATATAGGATGTGCCTGGTGAGAATATGGCCCCAAAACATAACCTAATTTTCAAAATTCAACATGGCAGCTGGCTGGTTCAAATAGATACTGTACACTTCTAGCACTTACCTGAATGACTAGTTTGCCTTAATTTAAGGCTCCTAGCTATATTCATTGAGGACTAAGGTGTGCCAAACGCAAGCCATGGTATTTTCAATCGCCTCATATGCATGCAAAGCTGGACAATGCATACAGAAGACCGAAGAATTGATGCCTTTGAATTATGGTGTTGGCAAAGAATATTGAATATACCATGGGCTGCCAGAAGAACGAATAAATCTGTCTTGGAAGAAGTACAGCCAGAATGCTCCTCAGGAGCAAGGACGGTGAGACTTTGTTAAGGACGGTGAGACTTTGTCTCACATGCTTTGGACAATGTCTTAGTTATCTAGTGCTGCTATAACAGAAATACCACAAGTGGATGGCTTTAACAAAGAGAAATTTATTTCTTCACAGTAAAGCAGGCTAGAAGTCCAAACTCAGGGCGTCAGCCCCAGGGGAAGGCTTTCTTTCTCTGTTGGCCTTCTCATCAATCTTTCCCTGGACTAAAAGATTTTCCATGCAGGAACCCCAGGTCCAAAGGATGCACTCTGATCCAGGCACTGCTTTCTTGGTGGTATGCGGTCCCCAACTCTCTGCTTGTTTCCCTTTCCTTTTATTTCTTGTAAGATAAAAGGTGGTGCAAGCCATATCCCAGGGAAACTCCCACTACATTGGATCAGGGATGTGACCTTAATAAGGGCGTTATGATCTCACTCTAATCCTTTTTAACATAAAATTACAATCACAAAATGGAGGACAACCACACAATACTGGGAATCATGGCCCAGCCAAATTGATACACAGTTTTTGCGGGACATAATTCAATCCATGACAGACATGTTATTAGGAGGGACAAGTCTGTAGAGAAGGACATCATGCTTGGTAAAGTAGAGGGTCAGCGAAAATGAGGAAGACCCTCAACAAGATGGACTGCCACAGTGACTGCAATCAATTTGTCAGTCAATGGATAAGTCTATGGAATGCAGGTGAAAGAAACTAATCTCTCAGATCTATGTTATATGGCCCAACATAAAAATACCACAGTGTACATAACTGGCTGATGGAGAAATTTCATTAGTTCATCTTAATTTAACTCATCTTTAGAGTGAATAATTGTTCTCTTTGTTCTTGCTCTCCAGTATCCCACATCCTAGCCCCATATGAGCACTCAAAGAAATAGTATTTTTTCTTTAAAAAGGAGATATTTCTTCTTTAGGAAAAAACAAAATTATTGAGCACCTACTGTGTGTCAAGCAGTATTCTAAGCAAATATAATCTTATTCAATCCTTAAAACAGCCCTATAAGGTAAGTGCTACTAATATCCCCATTTTATATATGAGGGCACTGAGGCATCAGGAGGTTAAGAAAGTTTCCCATAATCACAAAGCTAATAAGTAGCAGTCTGGGATTTGAACCCAGGCAGTGTGACTCTAGAGCCTGTGCTCTTATCTACTACTCTCAAGCTTGCAGAGCATAGAGCAACTTCTTCAGTTGGTGGGTTCAATTCTTGGTGTTAGCATTTACCAGCTGTATGAGTCTTAGACAAATTACTGAAGGTCTCTGAGCCACACTTTCCTCATCTATAAAAAATGGGTCTACTTAACAATAGCCTTTTTTATAGAATTTTTTGGGAAAATTAGATGAGATCATACACGCAGACCATCTGACACACAATAGACATTTGACAAGAGTTAGCACCACCCTTCCTCCCGTTATTCCTCTTCTTTTCATGCATGCTACCACAAGCTCACAACTCACTCCAACTTCACTGAAAATCAGGGACCCAACATAGCTCCAGGGGGAGAAGAGAAAACAATTGTACGAAAATGGGTACTACTGCTGCCGATCTCTTAGACTGGCATCTGGATATGTGCTAAATCCTTAAACAGGAAGGAGTTAATTTCAGCCCCTAAACTGGCCTCAGTGTGCTTGCATAACAAAACCTCCAGGTGTGCAGGCTTTGGTTCCAAAGCCATACTGATCCCCCAGCTCCTTTCCAGACCAATGGAACAAGAAAACTTACCCAATGCTCTGACAATTCTCATCAGGACTTCCCCAACTTTCATTCTGGTCTCTGGCGTGTGCTTATCTTTACTGCTGTCATACTGAGCCAAAAGGCCAAGCAAGATTTTCTCAGGGTAAGCATCTGACAGCAGTACAACCCCTGGGGTTGAAAACAAAAACAAGGGACTCATTACTGTTTAGGATTGAAAGCAGATGAACTCATACAGTCTGTTAGGGGTGAACACAGAAACACTGAAACCCACCTCTGTAATTGTACCAGCAAGGGCTGCCCTTTATTCAGAAAGACAACAGAGTGAGTAGAAAGAACATGGGTCTGGGAGTTTGAGTCCTGGATCCTTCTAGTCCCAGCTCTACATGATCTCTAAGGTTACGTCTAGCACCAACATTCTATGATCTATGGATATGGACTCTTCAAGCAAAAGCTAGATGATTATATATCATGGCAGGAATTCACACAGCAGTGGGAAAAGACTGGATTGAATGCCATCTAGGAACCTTTTTGATTCTGAGATTCTAAGTTCTGTGACTGATATTGTCCCTGCCAACATATCAGCCTGAAGCACAGCAGTGAGCTATTTCCTGCCTTTGCTGAAGTTCTCCATTCCAGTGTAATTTCTCTCTGTAAAACTGTCAATGATGAGAGCAATTTCCATAAGGAAACATTTTCAGAGCATTCCAGGCATGATCAGTATTAGACCTGAGCTTATAATTGAGTTTCCTGATCAACAGAAAAGGGAAGATCCTGCTCTTGACCCCTTTCCTAGGACTTGCTGGTCCCTTCTCCCATCCATGCCAGTGCCTCCTAAAAGCATAATCTGCAACAATGTCATCACTATCTGACCCCAGACTCAGGCAAGCTCCACAGGGATGGAGGGTGGAGAGAGAGGTATAACCTAAGACAACACCAGGATAAAATGCCTGGTGTCACAACTATACAAATATAAATTCTATTACTCAGGGGATGGGGGAGTTACATCAAGACTTGTGAGAAAGAAAAGAAAAGGGAAACTAAGGAAGGAAATATGGGATTCAAAATATATCCAAGATGAGACTGCTTCTCCCCACCTCTACCTCAACTACCCTGGTCCATCACCTGTAGCCTGGATTTTTTTCAGGCTAGAAGGTACAATATGTGCTTGAGAAATCTATCATCATTTTTCATCTGGATTTATCATCCTCCTGTTTAAACTGACAATCTTGCAGGCCAAAGTCTGCATTCTGTTTTCTATGTTGTAGCTTGTGACTCAGGTGTCATCTGGACTCCATTCTCTCTTCACTCGGCTGCTTACCTGTATCTGTGAGCCATGAAGGTGGTGCACCTGACACTAGTAAGGGTTGCACCCATCTGCCCATCCTTTTTCCTGCCCTCTCACCTCACATTTTCTTTGCTTCCAGAAAGTATGAGAAGTCTCTGTGTTCCTAAGTCACGCGCCCCTGGTCTTTTATGTGGTCCCCAATTTTATACAAGCAGAAGCTCTGATCTTAAGGGAGTTTCAGGCTGTGGGAGAACCTAAATTTGACAGCTTTCCTGTTGTCAAAATGAGAAATTAGAGTTCCAGTTCACTCTATTATGCAAAAAATGAAGAAGTTCTTGGAGTTCCATGTGGGAGTAAGGGGACATCCTTGCATAGGAAAAAATGTGTCTTAAGAAAAGGATAAATGAGTTGTTTACTAAGGGAGAGAAAGGAATTAGCTTCCAAGTTCTAAAAGAGTCCCAAAGAAAAAGTGAATTGGTAGGTGTAACTGTAATTCCAGCAGACACTTCACCACTGATATATTACAAGGTCTGTTACATATTATAGATCTGTAGCTGTGATAACTACTTTTCACCATACATTCTCAACTCAGAAATCTGGTGTATTTTTCCTTTTAGGAATATAATTAGTTGTGACTTTATAATGGAAATCAGTGGGAAAATGGGATTTGCTTTACACAACTTTGATCTGTTATCTAGATTTTCTGAAACTCTATTACTAAAGTCCCCCTACTATACTATTATGCCTATTTTTCTCATTAGTCTTTAGCAGAAAGCAGTTATTTACATCTATGTACATATTATCATGGTATATGTACTTCAAAGCCAAATTAGCTCTTGATTTCCTCTTAATAATGAATAGACATTGTTGTTGCAACACAGCAGCTACTTTTTTTTTTAATTTTTTTTATCGTACTTTAGATGAAGGTTTACAGAACAATTGATTTTTCATTAAACAGTACACACATCGTTTTATGACATTGGTCAACAACCCCATGACATGTCAACACTCCCTTCTCGACCTTGGAGGACTTTTTTTTTGGTGAAAATATACATAGCCAAAGTTATACCATTTCAAAAGTTTCTACATGTACAATTTAGTGACATCGATTACATTCTTCCAGTTGTGCTGCTATTCTCATTATCCTTTTCCAAATTATTCCATCACCATTATCTTCAACTCACTACTCCCTAGGCTTCCCATCAAACCTTTTGAGTTGCTGTTGTCGATTTGATCTCACACAGATAATTCTTTTTTTTTTTGGACCTTAGAGGAAAGCTTGCAGAACATATAGTTTCTCATTAAACAGTTAGTACACATATTGCCCTATGACAATGGTTAACAACCCCATGACATGTCAACACTGTCCCTTCTCAACCTTGGCTTCCTTATCACCAGCTTTCCTGTCCCCTCCTGCCTTCTAGTCCTTGTCCCTGGACTGCTGTGCCTCATTAGTCCCGTTTTGTTTTATGAGGCTGTCCAATCCCCGGCTGAACAGTGAATTTCGGGAGTTACTTCACCACTGAGCTAAAAGGGTGTCTGGGGGCCATACTCTTGGGGGTTTCTCCCGTCTGTCAGGCCAGTAAATCTGGTCTTTTTTTTGTGAGTTAGAATTTTGTTCTACATCCTTTTCCAGCTCTGTCCAGGACCTCTATTGTGATCCCGGTCAGAGCAGTCAGTGGTGGTAGCCGGGCACCATCTAGCTGTACTGGACTCGGTCTAGTGGAGGCCGTGGTAGCACAGCAGCTACTTTTATCTTTTGGTAACAACACCCTGGTGTTTCTTCGGGAAATGCCCCTTCCCATTCTCAGTCTGTGTGGTTTAAGTGGAGATAACCATTCACTTTCTCTCCCTCCAGGGTGAACACATACCCTGGCTGGCCAATTATGATAGTTCCATCTCATCCCCACCACAATGACTGGCTCAGGAATAGGCAATAAGACTCAATCTTAGAACCTACATTGAACAACTGGAAAAAATAAGCTCTTTTTTCCTGTTGAAGTTATTAACCTGGAGTTGCTGGTGGCCACTATGTGGAGAAAGCCTACCTAAGAATGGTGCCAACACAGAGGAGAGTCAAGCCAAGAGAGGGAGGGAGAAAAAGGAAGAGACCTAATGACACTCTTTGAGTCTCGGGACCTCACTGCATCTCTACCCATGAGAATTGTTAGAAATATAAGCCAATAAATACCCTTTTATGCTTATGCCAGTTTGATTTGGCTTTTTTTTCCCCCTTCAATCAAAAGAATCTTAACATATCCTTTTTCAGATTAAAAAAAAAAAAAAAAACAAGCATCCAGATTTCTTTTGCTTTTCCTATAACGCCAAATTCTTAATTCCACCAAGGAGGAGCTTTAAGCTCTCCAACCTTCTGTAAAAAGGTTGTCAATAGTAAAGTACAGTTTCCTTGCTTCCCAGAGTCCTAGGTATATTAGCCATGGTTTATCTTCCTGCTGGTCTGCTCCACAGACTACTGCCAAACAGCCCCTGGACTGCTGTTTTGAATTTTATCTTCTAAGATACAGTTGGCACCTATAAGTTTATAAATCCCTAGAGGACATGGGACAGTTCTCTCCTTACTCATCAAGCAGTGAAGAGAATCATATATGACAGTTAGGACTGTATAACAATTAAAAGGATGAGATTTTGTGTGGCTGTTTTTGTTTCTGATTTGAAAAGTTTTCTGAACTTTAACATGAGGAAGTATGGCCATAACCTTCATATAACCCTTGGCTCTGCACACTTGATAATTCCTTCGTAATTAGAAAATGGGGTAATTTCTGGGCCAGCACAGGCTTCAAGGAAACATGACACATCAATCCCTTTGGCGATAAGAAGCAAACGATTGTGTGAGAGATACCTATTTGGGCTCTGACCGCAGGAAAATGACTATGCATTTCAGGATGTGGTGTAGCAGATAAGATATATGGAAAGCCAAGGTGAACTTAAACTGGCAAGAGTTCATAAGAGCATTCTGACCTGTGTTTTTGGGTGAAGCATAGGAAATAGGCAAATTAACCCAACTGAAAAATATTAAAAGTACCTCACATACCAAAACAGAGCCAACTTTGTAAAATAAACGTTTTCCTCCAAAGACTTTCATTACAAAGCCAGAAATGTATTTTGATCAAAACAGTATTGACTTCAAGATGATCCCTTGGCATGCTACTCAGTGATTTTGTAGACTTTGAGCAATAAAAGTTTAGGTGTAGTCTTGCCCTAGTGGTGCAACAGTTAAGTGCTCGGCTGCTAATGAAAGATTGGTGATTCAAACCCACCCAGCTGCTCTGCAGGCAAAAGACCTGGAGATCTGCTCCCATAAAGATTACAGTCTATCAGATTCTAGTAAAAAGACCAGACTTAGTGGTCTGACTGAGATTGGAGGAACCCCAGAAAGCACAGCCTGTGGAATCTGTCAACCCAGCACTAAAACCATTCCTGAGGCCAGCTCTTCAAAGATTAGACGGAACTATGGGACATAAAATGATACTCAGAAAGAATGTGCTTCTTAGCTCAAGTAGATACTTGAGACTAAATGGGCAGGTCCTGTCTGGAGGTGAGATGAGAAGGCAGAGAGTCAGGAGCTGGTTGCATGGACATGGGAAATCAGGGGTGGAAAGGAGGAATGTGCTGTCACAGTATAGGGAGAGCAATTAGGTCACACAACAGTGTATGTATAAATTTTTGTATGAGAGACTAACTTGAATTGTAAACTTTCACTTGAAGTATTACAATAAAATTAAAAAAAAAAAAAAGACTACAGCTTAGAAAACCTTATGGGCAGTTCTACTCTGTCACATGGGGTCACTATGAGTCAAAATCGACTTGATGGCACCCAATAACAACAGTCTCACTTTAGACAGTGTTCTTGCATAATAGGAAA